AAATGGAAATCGAAATTTGAGAAAATAACGTAAATTCATTCGGCTGTTTAAGTGCATCACAATATATATCACAAACTACACCTATCTAAAAATATGCTTCAAGTATACATTATCAAAATATATCAAAACCTGTTTGCGGCCCTTTGCATAATTCCCAAAATGCAATGCGGCCCTCGAGAACCCACGAGTTTGACACCCCTGGTCTAGATAGTAATCTCAAAAAATAGTAATTTTTTTCATCCTGTAATAACCACGAATAAACTATACTTACTATTTTAGCTTACGATCATTTGCCATATACTAATTCAATAACAATGACTTAAATTATATTCTAGTTAAAACAATCAACTTTTACTTACACAGAGTCAAACTATGTCTGGATAGCCGGAGTTGTCGTTTGCGCATACGTGATTGCAGTCGTTGTTGTACTGATCGTCCTATTTGTAAAGAAAAAGTAAGAATGTCTCAATCATTTAATTAATCATTTATTTTGCTTGGATATTTCTGTTCTTACTTGAGAATTATAGGCAAAAGAACTATAATTACGACATCGCTGGCATATGAAAAAGAAAGGTGATCAGCAAAATATTCTTACATCTTAAAAAGATAGTCCATAATAATTTCCTGATTGTTGGGATACTTTCTGGATATAATACTATAAAATTCACAGTTATATGTTCTCAGTTATTTTCATTAAAGTTACCAATTTACTAGGAGATTAGCAAAATATTCTGACATCTCAATAAGATAGTCCATAATAATTTCCTGATTGTTGTGATACTTTCTGGATGTAATACTATAAAATTCACAGTTATATGTTCTCAGTTATTGTCACTAAACTTACTATGTTAATTCAAATCTTATTCAAGACGAAATGTTCAAATAGGAAGGGACGAGCATACTTATGAGCAATCTTCAATTAACCCAATTGGAATTCAATCGCAGTCAGTAAAAAGCGAAGGTTAGATAAAATTCAAAAACTATTTTGTCTCATTTTCCCTGCTTTCTGGACATTGTATTTGCTCTCAATACTCAAAATTATCTACCAAACAAAAAATTTTAAAGCAAACATGGTCAAAAATGTCGACATTAAAAGTTGAGAAGTACCTGAGTTTGGAAACCACTTTGAAAATAGAATCTAAATCTGTCAATACATAACTAATTTCAAAGTATTCAACAATTTTTCTCAGATTCTGCAGGGTATCTCAACGTGCATTACATGTATGAAAACGAAGATTCATTTACCACCAACCATGCTTACAAAGAAATATCAATTAAATGAAAAAGGGCAATGTCGTGCTGGAAAGACAATTTATCTATATACTACTTATACCTGTAAAATTTATACCTACTTGCTTGATCAATCATAAGTTGATAAAAGCTTGTGATTTTTTATTGAAAATAATCAATTTTGTTCAGTGATATTCAATATTATTTTCTTTTGTACTTATGTGGTTGTTTCGAGAACCTATGCATTTGAAGGAATATGGTTCATGAAATGAAATAAAATAATGTGCTAGAAAATGTTTTTAACTATACATTATATGAAACTATAAAACTTTTCTTTATTTACTTGGAAATTGATACAAAACTCTTTTTCATTAGAAATAATCATTTTTTCCGCTATGTAGATTAATGGTCACTTTGATTTTAGGGTTTTTATGTTTCTAGTAAATACGCATGAGGTGAAATTCAATTTTAATGAAACAGAGTAATCTGATTCTAGAAAATCTTTTGCTGATATGCAATAGATATTTATCTACGTAAATAATTGTGCTACAGAAACTGATTTACAGATAATACTATTTAACAAAGATCTCATGAACATAAATGACATTTGAATAGTATTTGTTAATGGAGCGATTGCAATTTCTGTTTGGTTTTGTGTACAGCTTGACGATTTGTTCATGACATTTGATTGAACCGATTGATCACCCCAGACACAGGCCCAGGATCAACGTCCTCAAAAGATTTATTTATCTATTCAGTTTGTGAAAATAATGTTCTTGAAGCTAGATCAGGCAAGGTCACTAGAGGGAGCAAGCATTACTCATAAATGTGATCGGATGGGTGAAAATCACAAAGGTTGACGAATGAAAGAAGTAAAAGGCAAGATATCTGAATAAAATTCGTGAAACCACTTTCGACTTTGGTTTTGATCAGGTCTAATCATCAGGTATTCATCATTTTTTGTATCAAGTTCGCATCTTATTTCAAACTCCGATTAAACCCCGGTGTCCAATCTACCTGGACTCAAAATCAAACTTTTATACATATCAACATCCCACTCAAGTTATGACCTGGCAATGCATCTAACAAATAATCAACCTATCGTTGAGTTTCATATGGAACTACGCAATATCCAATTAATAATCATGTCTTTTATTTGTCGTATCGGAATTTGAAACCTGATCTGATTAGTTGCGTTTGAAAACATTCATCCATCTTACTTACATTCCGGTGTGCATATCAACTTTGTTAGAATTGAAATATAATAGACTAACATGGTATTTATTTTTCCATGTTTCATAAATATATATATATATATATATATTGAATTTTAATAAAATAATATTGTACGTTATCAAGTTTCAGTCAATGTCTAATTTACATTTTGTAGTCACAAATCAATCAATCTTTCATTATTGCAAAACTAAACTGAACAAATGAGCTTTAATGGACTATATGCAGTTGAAAATTCCTTGTTGTTTTATGTTGATAATACTCACCTCGACATTAGTACGACTAGTTTGTGGCTAATATTATAATTATCATTCTCCCTTTCTCACTACGATATCGAGCGTGTACTTGAAATGTCTTGGCTTAACTATTTTGTATAAAAACGTTGAATATGACCAGAGTCATTCCATCAATTTTTCCTTACTTTATATTAAAACATTCAGCGAAGTTATTTTCTAGTTAGAATTTTTGTAGTTAATGCTTGAAAACTCATGGAAAACTCTGAACTATCAAGGACCTTCGTGACAATGAAAGAAAGTACACACTGAACTCAATCAAAATTTGTAAAGATTGTCGTGCACTGCAAATGTTTAAAATATCGTATTACTTCAATCCACGAATGCCTTGTCGTCCAACCCATTTCGCCCCTTAACTCGACATATAATTGGAAATGCCTAATTTTCAAAATCATCAACATAATATCATTAGTCCTCATATTCTATAGCAATGTACTAGTCATATATATCTGAGATTTTCCATCTGAGCAACAAGTATCACAGATTTTGTGAATAATCATAAATTTATTACCAGTGATTGTTTTACTTTAAATATGTGGTTTTGCATGTACTAATTAACTGAACAAAATGATACTTAAACACGAAAACGTTTATGAAATGCGTAGTTTTGATTGCAATAGACAAATATTAGCGGACTATTTGGGATGATAATGAAAAGGCAGCCAATAAAGCAAAATCAAAAATTAATGAGGGAAAACGTGACGCCATGGAACAGTTTTTGGGACCCATGCAATATCACTGAAATATATAGAAGAGAACTGGCGTCATCAATTTGACGTCTGATACAATTTTAATTTTCATCATTCTAGTGGCAATAACACTATATCAGTGAGTTTTGAAATAACATCACGCGGCTAAAACAAAATTAAAAATGAAAGCAATGCGGTGCGAAATCGAATAATAAAAGAAGACACAGCGTTTAGCGTTTCCTAACGTCAATGTATAACGTTACCTCATATAGTGATATTCAATTTGCTAAGTATATTACAATGTTGATAAATATTCGATGATGCCTATAATTAAAATCGTTAAGTTGAAATTTTTGAAAAAATGTGGTATTTTGAATGAAAACGTTACTAAAACGATAATCTAATTGTGGAATTTGTGTTATTTGCAACAAAGTGTACGTTGCCAGATGTCGAATATTAATCCACATTTACAAACAGTTTGGAATAAATTTAGTAGTCAATATGAAAATTTTTGATATTTCAAATAAAATGGCTATCTGTGTTCAAACAGTAACTCTGATGACACCAAACTGCAAAACTCCCTTCGAAATATATTGGTTTCGGATATTTAAAATAGGAATTATTCAAACTCATTCAGTTAGTATAATACTTTAATGTTGTAATTCAAAATCTCTTTAAAAATTATATGCAATAAATATGCAAAACATGCCATAACGCCGAGAGAAGTTAAGTTAGGAAATACTTTAAATCAGTGTTTCCCAGCCTATGGGCAGCGACCCCAAAAATTTGGTTGCCTGAAATTTTTTTGGGGTTTCTCAGCGAATCACTGCATAAAAGAATCACTATGAATATTGTAACATACCTGAATATTGAATGTCTATTAAGTGATGAATACCTAACGTTTTTGTTTAATTATACTCTTTTTATATGGCCTAAAAAAATCCAGATTGATTTCTGGTGAGACAAAAAGATGCATTGCAATTTTGTGAGGACTTAATATATTACTATATATAATTGCAATATTACCAAAAAAGAAATGCAAAAGCTAAATCTACGAATCTATGAAATATTCATTGTTTCGATCATTTTTCAATTGTCTAAAACTACAACTTTTGGTGAATTAATTTAAAATACACGAGTAGATTGAATGAGGTAATATTGAAAAAATGAAGTAAACTAAGCAGTTTTTAAAATACTGGAATAAATGAGAATGATAATTTAATAATACAAAGAAACAATACAGCGACTTGCAAAAGTTAAACTATTCATGATTTCAGTAACTTTTCATTTCACTAAAATGATAACTCTTGGTAAATTAATATATGATGAACGTGTAAATTGAATAACAAAATATTGAGGAAATTAACCAAAAAAAAAATTGAGCATTTTTTTAAAAATACTTGAATAAATGAAATTGATAATTTAAATATAAGGAGAAACCCTACGACGACTCGAAAAGTTGAATAATCATGATTTCAGTAACTTTTCATTTCACTAAAATGATAACTCTTGGTAAATTAATATATGATGAACGTGTAAATTGGATAACAAAATATTGAGGAAATTAACCAAAAAAAAAATTGAGCATTTTTTTTAAAATACTTGAATAAATGAAAATGATAATTTAAATATAAGGAGAAACCCTACGACGACTTGAAAAGTTAAATAATTTATGGTTTCAGTAACTTTTCTTTTGACTAAAATGACAAATTCAGAATTAATTCAGAATAAACGAGTACATTGTATAAAGCAAATATTGCAAAATGTAAAAAACACAAAGCAGTTTTTTAAAATACTGGAATAAATGAGAATGATGACTTAATTATACGATGAAACACTACGACGACTTGCAAAATTTGAATATTCTTTGAGATCAGGAGAACAGTTAAAAGCGGAATGTTTTTGAACATATATTGGATTAAACTGATATCTGGTGATTCTCGTAAATCGCACCATCATATTGCGACTGCACATCATTTTCATATGGATTTTCTTCTACGAATTCTTTTCCATTGACGTTATTAGAACATAACCACTGCTCAACAGCTCGGTAGCAGAATCGATATTCGTCCTGGAAATATATGAATATGCTTATAATTATAAATTCTTATATGTAACACTCTCCAATTTCGTGGTCAATATGGAATCAGCAAAGAATAATGTTGTTTAATTAATTTTTTCGTAAAAATTTCACAAATACAGCTATAGATAATGAATAATTTTTAATTGTTTATAATTTTCACAGCAAATCACACATGATTTGGAAAAACAGAGAACACAATGAAAATGAATGGGTTATGTCGGGTCAGTAAGAGAACGTATTTGTTAATTTTAATACTCTTGATTCAATATTTAATGCTCCAAATTTAAAGAAACCAATTCAGTGACCAAATTACTGAATAGTTCGAAGATTTAAGTGTCGACAAATTTAATTCACCAATGATTGAATCATTCCTGGTCGACAATCTCTCAAATCCTTCACAACTCTGAACACATCGGCTTTTCCTTCGATTTTAGCGCGGGAAATCAAATTCATTATGCCACAGAATGCCCCTGTCCTTCCCAAGCCATCCCTGAAAGTAGGAAATTAGTTTTGAATATGGAATATTGAAAAAATATATTCGAAAGAGTGGCTGGGTTCTGAAGTTGAAAAAAAAGTTATCTTATATATCGAAATCACTAACAACAAGTTCTCTCATTTCAGAAAATTTCGTACGCACTATTTAATTAAGCAATAAAATGGCACGCTTTGCATAAATCTGTCAAATTAATTTTAAAACGCCAAACGCCAAATGCAACATCAGTCGTCGCTGCCCATGTGCTGCGTCGTCTAATATTCAATACAAATATAATAAACAAGTTCCTAATTATCACGACTTTCGAGAAAAAGACGAATTGCCGAATTCGGCCACTGACTCTAACATATTGTTTATTTTATATTTTTGCTTACTCTGTGTTTTATTTTTATAAAATCGGAAAACTCTCCAATAAAAGAAGATTCATGCTTCAGATCTAATACTATTGACCATCGCTTATATGAAACTGGTACTCAGTTGAGACGACATAAAGGTCCAATATTTTACAATTGTTGGAGTAATTTTCATCTTTCATGACTTGAAATACAATTGTTCGTCTTCGAACTGGGTTAGTACTCGAATTCCCTAATTCCGTCCTATCCTAAGTTTCCAAAATTTTTCATTAATTTTGTCTAGTATCAGTAGAGAATAAGTATTTATCTTGATCTACATACCTGCAGTGCACCAATACTGTTGAAACATCCTGTTTCAAAGCATTCATCTGAATTTCATCGATTACGTCAAGTACAGTAGTGGCGTCATCGGGACACGCACTGGATCTCCAACCCAAGATGTGATATTGCGTCACTTCCTAATAAACAACAAAAGCTAATATTTGATTTTGACCTTTTATGGACCACAAGTTATTCTAAGTATTTTTGCCAAAATACATCAGACAGACATCAAAACTTTCACATTGTTTTAGACTAGACAAATATTTTATGTAACACAAAATAGCATAACACATGGTAAAAAAGTAGGAAATTTCAAATAAAAAAACTGGAATAAGGTTTTGCTTTTTGAAAAACTTACTTTTCGTTCATCACCACGTGTAACCAAAAAATTCCTTTTGATATATTCCCCTGTTGAGCTCGAGTTCTTTAGCTGAACAGATACTTTTCCAAATGTGATTGATTTTCCTTCTACTGATGGCCAGTACTGTATGTTGTGCACCTAAGTGTTCAAGACATATTGTGATTAATAGTACGAAAAGGGAAGCTGTCCAGAATGATCAGTGAATAAATACCCCACTCATATTTGTAAGTGATACTAATTTGTTTGTTTGGATACTGATTACATTAGTTATAATTGTTTGGCTTGCAAAAATTCTTGCTATAAGTTTATCAATCAATTCAGGTATATGGTATTCCACAGCGTTGGGAAATATATATTTTTTTGAAACAAGCAACATTATAAGTTTACTGTCCTGTCAATGGTAGTCAGTGACACAGCATGTCAACGATATCTTACCCATGATGTGAATGTGTAAATAAGGGCTCATTATGAGCGCATGAATATTTCTAACCCAGTTGTGTCTAGTTTGCGCAATGTCAACGGAACTTTTCGAACACTGTTTAACCGAAGTTTACTAGATGAAATAATGAACATATATATATATATAAATATCCTACGAATAAATATTAAATAATCTTACATTTTGCTTAACAAGTTCATTCAGCATTACAATTGTTGTGACGTCACTATCAAGTACAGCTCTCCAGAAATTTTCAACATTTGCTAACTTCGGTCCTTCACACGCAATCATGCGAATAGATTCGTCGTATGTCTGTAAAAAAAATTCGGATATAATAGAAGAAAGAAAAAGATGCTAAACTCAAGAATACATGTACGAAAAGTGCAGAACGTCCAACTTATTTAAGCTCGAACATGAGATCGGACCCAAGTTGGAATATATCAGAAGAAAAGTTACCAATTTCCGTTTAACTGGGAGAAATAGATGAAAGCTGAATAATTGTGAACAAAAAGTTCCAAAATTCAAATTTTAAGCATTAAGACGATTCTAAAGACCTTATGGGCGTTGAGGTTATTTACAATCAAACAAAACACATGTTTGCAGTCAATGCATGTATAAAAACAATAAATTATGTCTATAAATCTGTTTAATTATTCCGAAATAATAATGTACTACAAATTCAATAATTCTTTGAATAGAGACATGTATAAATATTTAAATAATGAAGAAAATACCTCGAGATGATTGGCATTTAGTTTTGGTATCACGTTTCCATCTCCCTGCTGCCACATTATGATGACTTTGTAGTTCTCAGCTGAAATCGGAAGGTTATAAATCAGTACATCAACAGCTAATAGTAGCAAGCTAATACAGATATAGAGCTATATATATCGTTCTTCCGGAGTTGTTTTTGATAATTTTGTGGTCGTTGATAGGATTATTTTTCTTAAAAAAAAATGGCTTTTCACCGACACTAATCAATTTCAGTTCTTTTTGTTAATTTCCTTCTTTACCATTATATATATATATTATATAGATTCCTTTGACGTAATTCATTGACCCCGTCCAGCAGTAGATACCGGAAACATCTTGTTACTATTTCCGGCCTAGCTTGAAAGTAAAAATATGATACATACCATGTTTTTCACTGATCTTACTAAATCCAGAAGCAACATCAACATTTTTAAACTCTTTCTTAATTCTTGAAGTTCGTTGAACATATCTAGAACAATTATTAATACACACTGGTTTTCTCAACTTCAACAACAATTTTACGCCAATATTTCTTCTAGGAATCATTCATAATATGGTTGATCAATATAGGATAACCGAGTTTATCAACAAATATTAGTCAACCCAGTATTGAGAAAGTGTTTCACAATTGACTGAGTGGTAACTTTTATTGATTTGTCATTTGATTGGTTTTTTATTATCCTGCTCATCAAAATTCCTCCTATTCGTAGCCTATTTGTAATTAAAACCACAATAAATTTAGATTCCTTAAATAGTCATGAATGCACATTATTATATTTCAATTATGCAATTTCTATATAAGAAAAATTATTTTTTTATCCAAAAAACTTGTCAAGATTTTTCACAAGCTGCGGTTTCCCAGTCAGGAAGACCATGAATAAAATATAGTTTCTTGTCTACCGGTACTGGATGCCTGAATAGCTACGGACAACTCTGGAGCCACAATGACCCTGCATATAGCCATTATAGCCATAAGCATGCCAATGGTAGCTTGCAACTCTAATATCAGTATTCATTCGGTTTTCATTTCCGTTATAATGACTTTGCTTTGAGCAAATTTTCAATAATCCAAACGAGATGTGTTACTTACCTTCTATCTTCCTGAATCTTGACCCCGAGTTCAATGTCATCTGCATCTGAATCTTTGAACAAATGGTTTTCGCTCAAAAACTTATGTAGAAGTTTGTATTGTTCCTATGTGAATTGAGACAAACTTTGTTACATTGATAATAAACGAAGAACGTTTTAGAACAAGCAATTAATCTATAAATCGTTTCGCATGCAAAATTGAAGATGGTGTTGAAATAGATATTAAGTGTCGGGAGCAAACACGATAACAAATACAATCGTAAAATCTAATATAAAATCAGATCCACATTAAGTCCATCTATACTAGTATGTTTCCTTGGGGTTTCTCCTCCATCAAAAGGTTGCAAATCACAAGCCTAGTCGATGCTGGTGAAAGTTTATCTTCTAATCTACACGATTTTGATTTTATTTGTTATTGGATATTTTAGTGGATTCCGTAAAAGTAAATTTCATTATATGCTTTATACTTTTTCTTTTGCCCAAACGTGAAAAATAAAATAAGTGATGAAACCCTTTAATATCAAAACTATTGTTTGAGAGAGTCACAGAATGTTAAAAATCTTTGAAAGTTTAATGAAAGTTTGATCCTCTATGTTTTTGACAAATCATTAAATATCTAATGTTTGTAAGATTTATGTATAAAAAAATGAATACTCACGCATGTCTGGACCATGTCGACTCTCTGTTGCCTCATTTTTATAACACATTGGTAGATGTCCACGCGTTTGTACGAGCAGCTTCTTCAATCAAGCAATCATAACCAATAAAGGCTCCAGTGCGACCTGCTCCAGCACTGCGAGTAAAAAATCAAGCATCAGACCAGTGGTTCTTAACTTTTTTTCTGTTTGGTGGCCCACTTTTGTTGCACAGAAACTCTGTGGCCCAATAACTTTTTCATTCAAGGTAAAAACTACCAGCAAAATAAAAAAATCGCAAAGACATTACTAGTGCTGGGCATATTCGTATACCTGATGATTTCAGGATCGAATCGATTAATTTTTTCGAATTGAATCAAATCTCGAATACTTGGAAGGTATGAAATTGTATGTAACTTTCTTATTATTTTAGGTTCTCCAGACACATAAATTACTGAAAACATAGATTACATCACTGACAATAAAAAAACACGTTTTCATCAATACCTCAATACAGAAAAGAGTCCTATGTCAAAATTGTGTGGAAAAAATATGGCTGCAATAGGAAAAGTTGAGAAATTTATCTCGACCATTGGCGGAAAGAGTAAAACAAGATGTCGGCGTTTCGAAAATTTGCTCTAGCCGATTTGAATAATTTACGATTCGATTCGAATATTCGATTCGAAATGCCCAGCCCTAGACACTTCTTCTTTGATAATTAAGATGTAAATTATTACTCAGTAGATGAAAACAGCATCATCAATAATTGCCACTACAGTCGAAATTAGCTAATTTATTAATCAATGACTAGCATTTTTTAATAGGTTTGTTGCGAACATCAAAATTTTTCTTGTGTCCCAGCAGTGAGCCATGGCACACTGGTTTAGAACAGGTAGGTAGACCCAAGGTTTTAAGCCCCAGTCGAATGTGCGATTAATTGCGGGTTTTCCACCATATGCCATAGTAATTGCAATCAAACGTTTACGGAATGACATTTGAAGTAAATTCACAAGTCATTAGCAATAAGAATGGAAATTTTCGGGTGTTTTTTCACAAAATGAAACTTGTCGTATGCTTGCAATACCTGACCTGCAGTGCACAATAATAGGGCAATCTTCATTTCCATGACTTCCCATACAGGCTTCATAGAATCGATAAAAGTTAGAAGTTGTAACAGGAACTCCGTGATCAGGCCAATTCAGGAAATGGTATTGTTCAACTTGATAGGCAGGCTAATAAAAAGAATGTCAAGTTGATTGAATTTCGTGACTAAGCAATCGAAATTTATAATGCTTTTATTTTTGTATGACCTTTTTTTATGAATTATAAAAAGGCACCCGGTCGTTACTTGAAGTCCATACAACATTTTGATTTCTTTGGTGCCAAGTAGAATTGTAATAATTGAAATCAATATTTATTTGAAAAGCAAATTTCCTATTTTTCAATTTATTTCTACCCATTGTAACTCTCACTGTATTGTTAAAACGGTGAAGTTGAAAAATTAATTTTTATTGCATGGAAGTTTTTTTATGGATGATAATAACACATCAAATCTTTTCTTGAAATTCATATAATATTTTTTTTATTTTTTTTATTTTCCCGGTTACACTCATTTTGACTCGATATGTATGTAATAGGTATATAAAAGATGAAAAAATGCGTATTACACGCAAAAAAATGTTAATCTCTTACCTCATCCTCAGTATAAATAGTAAAAGTTCTCTTTTTGTAGCCTCCAAAAACTTCTTCTTTATCACAAGATACTCTAATTTGGCCGAAAATTTGTTCCTGTCCAACGTCTGGCCAATATTTTTCACACTTTTTCTGAAAATATTAACATAAGATGTGAGATATAAAAATTTTCATTTCAAGAATGAATTCAAACAAATTCAAATTATCTATGCAATCTTCTCATGTCAAATTGCCCAGAGATAGAAAGCAAAAATGCTGGAATAACAAAACGATTACTATTTCACCAAGATTCTCAAATAAAAAAAACAAAAAAAAAAACTATGTTTCATCTCTAGTTAAAATCTTAGCTCGACTGTCAAAACTAGTTTGCTGGAGCGCAGTTCTCAATATATCTCAAATAGGTTTGTTGTCTTCATCTGTGAGGGCCATAACAATATATGATATCGACAATTTTTTTTTTGATTTTAAAGTTTTCACGAACACCCGATATATATTACTAGAAATTAACAATACTCGATTCTGCTGCGTACGTACCTTTTGTGCCTCGACACATTTTGTAAGCATAACAATAACTTTAGATTTCTGCTCAACCACCATTCTCCAAAAATCATCTATTGTAGTTGGAAGAGGTCCTTGAGTTGCGATGAACTTTCTGGACTTACTGTAGCCCTGAAAACGGAAAATAAAAAAGTAAAAGTAAGCACAGTTTTACAAAATTAACGTTATGCATAGACGGTCTGACCCTGCCATACAAAGCTACGGAACCGGACTGTTAAAATCTCACTTTATGGGTTAAAATTTTATCATTCAAAAAGTGGACTAGACCTACGATCCACCACTATGGAATTGGTTTTCAATGGGCGGTTAACATAAATGTTGTCTTACGTGAATATAGCAGGCGTTAATGTATGTTTCTTCGTTTTCTCCTTTCAAATTAACTCTGGATAAGTCAACTGGTAAAACAAAATAAATTAATAAAATCTAGTTGTTTTAGAATACCACTGTCACTGTTCAACTAATGTTTCATTTCTTAATCCCACTTTGACACATGAGATGACTTTTATATTACTTTCAGATCCTGACTATAAGTAAACATAAAGAACAGCCACAAATCCTATGGACACAAAGTAGATTGTCAGTTGACATTCAGTAATCGTAAAATTAATTTAAACTACGGGAAATATTTGTTTGTGTGGCGATGGCCGAATTATTCAATAATAATAAAATTTATTGCAAAACAACGAGACCATGAAGAATATTGGAAAATATAAAAAGTTAAAAAAAATTTAGGAGACTTTTCCGTTGTTAGGCTAGACAATTAAGTCTATAGAACAGTGATCAAGAAAAATATTTTCGATTCTAACTACACGAACGACAGTTAAGCAAAATGGTCCAAATATCCATTAGTGTCTTATTCGTTTACTGAGTTACTTGATCATATATACTTACAAGGTAAAATATTTTTATATCTGTTTTTAGTCTTCAGGTTTTCATTTGACGCTATGTCTGTTGAAAATATGGTAATAGCTTCTCTCTTGAGGGCCTTAATTAATTAAATAGATAGATAAATAAATGTGAAGACAAACCCTATCTATTTCAGTACGAATCAATGTAGTTTGATGAGAAGTAGCCTGAAAAATAATGGTTGGTTCAATGGTTTGCCATATAGTAGGGCTCAAGCCTATCTCTATCACAACTACTGACGATCAAACGACGGGGTGGGCAAGATTTTTTAAACCAGGTGCCAAAACCGGGCGACGAAAAAGTTATATTCAATGAACAGGATTTTATTTACAGTGTCACAAAAGCAAGTGGAAAACAATAAGCCTCTTGCCCATACTACATTTTATCGCAATTTCAACAATTCTCGAGTTAAATTTTAGATAAAAAATCGAAATTTGCTTTCGTTTGGTTGCGACATCACACATCAGACGGGCCAGATTGAATTACCCAACGGGCCGGATTTAGGCCACGGGCCGTAGTTTGCCATGTCCGTGTTAGACATTACGGACTGTAAACCTGTGTCTAATTGCATGGTTTCTTTTGAATTCTTTACCTGACAGTTAAATTCAATGTATTGTAGATTACATTTGTTTTACAACAAAATTTACCGTGAACTCTTCCAAGAACTTTTCTCCGCCATTTGCATTTTTCTGTTCAAATACCGCAAGTAACTCTTTCACGGAAATTGAAGTTTTCGATTCATCTTTCTCTTCAATATCAGCCCCAAAGTTCGCATAAACTGTAGCTGAAAATTAAAAGTTGAAATTTAAAGTTAGAGTCGCGTGCATGTAATAATCCTGTGGTTTACTCGTCAATGAAAATATGAGACCCAGCACTTATTTTAGATTGGGTGTAAAATGACGTAGATGAAATATTCCCGGCTTTCCAAGATTGTTTTAAATCGGGTCCTGATATCTACACATGAATTCGCAATACAGTTTGGTTATAACCACTACTGCTCATATTTTGCCCATATGTGCAATACTGCATCCAATATTTGACTCGAGCACTCTAACAAATTTAGACAAGAAGTCGCCAATAAGTTTAATTTACTTTTTCTAGAAAAGAACCCACCAATACAACTTATATTGTTCCTAATTTAAAAAAAAAAATTGCCCTCAAGAAGTTAAACTACTGAATTTGAAATAATTTTTTTCAAATTTTGGCATTGACGAAAATCACGCTCAAATTAACCTTTCAAACATAAGTATGTAATTGTTTATTTACTTTCATCCATCTCATTTCGTGAAGCAGGGAGTCTATACCGCTTGGAATCTCGATCATTCAATTTTTTAGTATGATTCCTGGATAAATTAAACAATATTTTTAATATATATTTTATTGTAAAGCGAGTAAACGGACAAGTTGCTATTCCGAACATTGGCTCAAGATTTCGTTTCCCAACAAAAATTGCGAGTTTTGATATGATTACCAGTGAAAAGCCAACGTGACAGTTATCAAGTTTACGATGACGTAATCCTAGGCAATGGTATCCAATGCGACATATTAAAAGACTTCAAGTGAACGTGGCAAGAAAAAAATGAGCTAAGAGATAACTCGGAACTTAAAAAAAAACGATTTAGTAACTAGGAAATATGTATGCTGGTCGAACTATAGTTTCTGTGGAAATATTCTAAAGACTTGAAAATTAACACGCAAGATTGAAGTAAAACTAGATAAAATAGGAGAACCAGAAAAATGGCTCAATTGGCCGAAAAGACGTACCTTCTCTTTATGTAAATGACTATCAGAACCACAGTAACCAAAGCAGCCACACCACCAATAATACCAGCTATCCACCACAAACTGGAATCTAAGAAAATGTATATCATTAAAGTTATGACTTTGTTTTATTAACGTAAAGAGATCAAACAAGAGTTTAAATCCTGCGCTCAATATATAAGCTTGTTGGTGGCACAAGTATCTAACAAATTATACCCAATACCTTCGTTTTTGCATCGAAATTGATCGCCAACAGAGAAACAATTTGAAAAAGTAATAATCTATGCTGCCTATGAAAATTTAAAAAAGCGTTTTCTAAACATTAGTGTGATACTCTAACGGAGAACGAAGCCAAATTTTTATATGCCTGAAGTTTGGGAAGGAATTGTTGGTAAATATTTAAATCACTAAAAATAACAACAACGAAAAATGAAAAAAAAAAAAAATAAATAAAATCTCGATTTAAATGGAAAAAAAAGCAAATGTGTCAAATTCAAATTTTGAATAATTCGATTTAATACAACAAGCGCAAAATATCATATACCATTGCATAAAATTGTGTTAACTTCCGCCAGATTGGTACAAAATTTATTTAGAAATAACAAAATGCTTTATGCTTGTTTTCGTTTAACAATAACAAGGAGAAAATTGAAATTTTAAATCCAACAGACATTTAATGTATAATTGTCATAGAAAAAAAAATATTATTTTTTCTGAGACTTCCAAAAGGATTTTAGGTATAATAAAAAAATCTTGATTCAAATACAAAGCATTGTTTTAAAAGGGAACATGTCCTTCAAATTCCAAAAGATGTTTAAATTAGTTGTTTGAAATCCGACTGAGTAGCAAATTAAATCACTTAAACGTTGTTGGAGAAAGTCTACTGCATTAATTAAGCTGACTTCGGACCATTCTCGCCAATATTGCATAAATATACCTTCAATATAGTCATGATAAAATGAACTAGGAGGACTTTGTTTTAAATAGGTGTTTCCGGACGTAATAGATGGTGTTGAAGATACCACGTAGTAACTGTAAGAAAATATCTTTCGTTGAGAATTTTTCCGGTTACTTCAAATGGTAAAACAGAAATAGTATTAAATACCGAATACCAGTTCGAAAAAGACTGACACAAAAATGGCTCAAGACGCATGTATCATATTCGTGGAGGTGAAACGGTACCGAACAGTCTTTAAAACTCTTTGAACTCTGATTCCCCAGAACGATGCTACTCTCTCACCCTGACCTCCCACGGCGTCGCATCGATTTGATGCGTTAAAAAATTGTAATATCCCTAATTTCAAACCAAAATAACTTCTAAACCATTAGATATCAGATGGTCCGTAATATGTCATATAAAAGCTTATCTAGTCTTTTCTTTTTAACTGGCATTATTTTTCACGAGATGTTTTGATGAGATGTGTAAGCCTATTTTTAGCCCCATCTACTACTTTTTTGTATTTTGGCGTCATATTTAATACATTTTTTAGAAATGTATCATCAATATAAGTAAAATTTTGAAAAGTAGACAAAATTACCTTTCGGAGAATATAGGGATGACTTTCTTAACATACGCATTAACTCATTTTATTGCAGAATTTTGTACTATACGATTCAAATGGTTTGCGAACAAAATTGATCAACTATTTTGACGCCAAGTTTGGGTAAGGACGCAAAGGCGACGACGACATTGTCGTGATAACGTTCATGCGACGTATCGGTGCGTAACTCTTTGCGTGAGGTATATTGCGCAATTGCACATCTGGTCGTTCACAGCTTGAGTGCAGATTGTGTCATCATTGCATCAGTATCATATCCTCGGCCGCAGATAAAACCCTTTCAGACGAATTTTGATCGAACATAGTAAAATTGCTAGAATCTAAAGGCCATTTTATATACGTTTACTATTTGGATATGGGACGAAAATGAATGGCCAAAACGAAATATTTGATCCTCATGAATTTATGAGGTTCCGCCGGAAACATCAAGGCTAATTATTCACCGTTGGATATCATGAAGATTGAATAAAAAAAAAAAACTGATAACGGGTACACGGAAGACATGGTGGCACCAGTAGCTCACCTGGTCAGTGTTTTACATTTTGCGCCTCATTAGATTTTCGAAATACTGCATATACGCTACATTCTGATATCGCTATATTTACAATGGATTTTAAACGAAAGCTTTGTCCAGATGAAATATTGGATAGTATTCATCTATCGGAAGAAGAAAATATGGCACAATAAAACTCAGCAATGGCGCTAAACAATGCATCCATCGATATGTTCCATCAATCCGTTTTTAGAAATCCTTATTTTTGCTATTTCGTATTTTTCATATCTTTTATGCAATTAAAACGGCAATGACACTGCGTATTGTGTGTTTTAGTCGAACCGATATTTGAGGCTGGATGTAATCGTAAATTCCCCGTGTATCGTTTACAAGTCGTTAGTCGCTTCACGAGTACGAACTTAAGTAAATGACGTTACGAGCATGGCGAGGAAAAGTGTTTCTCGTATGAAACGTGAACGTGCTACGTGCCAAACGTACTTTGCTTAACGTCGCTGCGTAACGGCGTAAATGTGTTAGGTCGTTATTTACGTCACCTTGACGTCGCCTCGATCTTGCGACAAACAAAATCACGAATAAAAATGCTTCTAAAATTTGAATGGTGCACATAAGTTCATCTAATGGTATCACTGGAAAGCTATTTTCAAATTCTACAAATTTGTCCATAATGTACTTAGGTTAATCGAAAACAAATTGAAGTTTTGTCAATAGATTTGAGCAATTTACAGAAGTTTTTTATGCTTTTTAATTTGCCAATTTTCATAAGATGATCACATATTTTATCTCAAATTTTATAAATTATACTTAGTCTTGTAGATTATCTTTCACACGATGTAAAACTTGTCTAAATATAATAAATGGTTCGCGAGATATGAGGTTTCAAAATTGCATACCTCTTACGGGATGCGAAAGCCGCTATAGCGGCTTTCAGCGTCAGAAGACTTTCTCGGGAAAGCCGCTATAGCGTCTTTCAGGGATCGAAGAGTTTAGACCGCGGCGTTACTAACGCAAATTAGCTAGCGGCAAGATGATATGTAATATAATTCACCTGTAAGTTACAGCGCCCTTCAGTCTCAAGTTTCTTCCTGATATATGTTGTGTTGTTGCACGTTTTCCTCTATTGCCAGGAGACGAAGAGATATCGCAGCTACTAAATGTGTCTTCGCCCAAAATTAGTTCTATTGAAGAACCGTTGATTTCGGACCTGGAATATAAAAAGTAGTTCTTCAATGATTTTAAATAATCGTTTATGATTTGAATGTAATTGAAAAGTTTTAACTGAATGTCATAAAAATTAGATATCATCCAAAATTGCACTATACATCCCACTACGGGGTATATAAAAATGAGGTTTTCCAACTAACTCTGATGGCACATTTAAAATTAGCGGGGATAGAGAAAATGATAAAGAAAACATTATAATTTTTTCAACTGAAGGTAGCAGTAGCTATTAAAATATTCGTCCCAATTACCTTCTCTATGCAATAACTAAGACTAGTCACCCAACTCTTTTCCCGAGCTTTATCAATTTTTGCCTTAATTAAATCGATATTTGATGAGGCTAAATACTCAATAGGTTTCTTAACTTCTGGTACGGAAGTGGTCATCTGAAACTTTATTTATTTGTTTTAAATAAATTTTCATTGTTTTTTGGTTAGTTATTGTGACCTTGCTACTGAATATCCATAAACATGTTCATATATTTAATATAAGGTTTACCTTTGTATTGCAATAGCCAGATAATCCATATCACCCGGTGCTTGGTTTATTGCTACATTCGATGCCTGGTTAATATCGTCTATCGTTATTGCGTTGTTTGTCAATTTACTTCCTGATTTCACGAGCACAAAATACAGCTGCAATTTGAGAAGAATGCTCTAAATAAATCGTTTAATACTAAAACTAATCATTAGTTTTAAATTCTTATTGAATTCCTATTTAGTAATTCCTAACTTCCTCTCGTTACAAAGTGTCAGATAGGAACCCACGGATACTGGAAATATACTATATTGTTAGCCATAACCAGAATCAATATGGTTGAGCTTTGCTTATCTGCTTCATCCTACATTACTTGGTCCCAATTATTAAAATAGTTCAAGTTCTGAATGTCTCATTCGGATACCATATTATTTTAAATATATGAATGCGTAACTAAATATCTTGAATAATCGTTTCTGCTATCATGTATGATTAGTGTAAATTATTTATTGGCAAACCATAAATTCGCCTTATTCGCCATTTTGGAACAGGCAGGAATTTTTTTCAGTTCAGCATAACATACCTAGTTCATTCCCCAATTTTAATCGACGCGAATATTAAATAATATTCTTTGCAAAATAATTGACGTATTGACGTCAGAAAATCATATTCAGCTTCCATATATTTTAATAAAATTTATGACGGGTCTCTTGTATTACCTTATTGTACCATTCGACTCATTAGGTACATTGACTTTTATCGGCTGTACTGGTGAGTTTTCAGTAGAATTCATTAAAGTTGGTTCTGGTACAGATTCTGGTGCTACGCAGATGAAATATAAATATTAGATTCGCAAGATAAATAAACCATTGTTTGAATCAGTCTTGAAGTTTGGTGTTACACGTTGGACGCAGTGGTTTCCAACCTTTTTCGCGAAGCTGACCCTCAATGAAACATCCCAGAGGCTAGAGAAATCACTATGCAATATTTTGAATTGTCTCATGCAAAAAAGCGTTATGTGACGCAAATTTCCAAAACTTATGTTTATATTTCTTGTAATAAATATAGCAACTGTAAAAATTGCATTCATTTTTTTTTTATTTATTCCGAGAAAAAACTTTTTTTTATCTGGTGTTTATATAATAATATAGACTAGCGGATCGGTTTATTACAAAGACCTATTCGGTGATATTGCACTAAACATATCACAAGGAGCAATATGGGTGAAAATGTTTGCGGACATTTGAAAGCAAAGACGAGCTTTTTATTTGGTTTGGTTAAGAGGCATTGTCATTTAAAAAAATCTCCCCAAACCGCTTACTGCTATCATGGTATAATGTTCTAGAAAAGTGCTCGTTCTATAACTTTTATGCAGAGCGTCCTAGATTCATGAATTTTTGAGTACCATTAAGCACAAACAGAAATTGAAGGGTAACAAATAGAATACATTTTCTGCTTTCTTCTATATTTCTGTAGACGGTATAAACATTTATGGGTTCTGTTTTTGTGGTCACACTGTATTTTACTATATCAAGTTTCAGTTCTATTTTTACTTCCAGATATAAATTTAGGTTTGACTCTAGCATAGTTTTGAGTGATGATGGTATCTATTTTTTCGCGATCTCACCTCAGTCGTAGAATTTCCGGTTTATATGCCCTGTACAACAAAAATTGTCTATTTCATGACCAACTTCAACTATAGATGTAATTGTTACCTGCCATATCTGTAACACATTCTCCATCGGCTCTCGACGTGTTGCTTGACCCGGCACAGGTTTTTGTTTTGATGTAAAAGTTGTAGTTCCGGTTCGGTTTTGTTTCAATTTGAACTCGGAAATATTCCAGCGTTCCACCAGCATAAGATTGCACATTACTGTATGTTTGTTGCTCTATATTTGGAGAGAGTTGGACGAGAGTTGATTCTGTAATTATCTATAATATAAAATGAGTGGTGTTTCAATCTTGAAATCTATCCCGAAACGTCACAGAAATATATTTGTGTTAGTGTACACTAGGAATCTTCAATCACTTAGGATAGTCAACTTTATTCTTGCTACAGCATCTTTGCATTGTATGCATACGGATCCACCGGCACAAAAACATAAAAGAAGGATAAATAGTTAGTCCCGCCGAAACCAAATTATTGAATTTAAAATGTGGAAAAATTTTTGTACGTGGCAATCCACCAACGCTAAGACATTATGAAATTCTATATCACCCAGAATGTGATAAACTAAATAGAAATATAAAAAGTGACATATAAAAAGGTCAACGGTCACACCTTTGTAATTTATATTTTTTCGACAAAGAATGTCTTTATGCGTTCATTTGTAGTATTATCTATATGGAATAATTAGCTACCTACAATAAATATATCGAGTACATCTCGTTTAATGCCACTTAATCTTAACATTTTTTCCCTTATTTTCCAAAATAATTTAGCTTATTAATACGGAATCATTCAAATTACGTGTTCGTTCCTTATTCAGATGACAGTCTCGTTCAATATGCATTGACGTGAAACTAATTGTGATTGGATACGTTTTAACTCTAGTTTTGTACAGGTTTTCGGATTAGAAATATCACATTGAAATTTGCAAAATTGTTTCTTAAAATTTGCTTCCAATTATACTAGTCAATTATAACGATTGAGAAATTATGGATTAGTTTCGTGTACAATCCCGTGTTTTATATATTCATGAATGTTTACAAATACCTCGAATGTCGTACTGCTCTTCGGTATTCGATCGCTCCATGACCATTTTACTGTGCAATATCCGGCATTCATATTCTCTTGAATAACTCCGGCGTCTGTAACTGAATCTGGCAACCCAACTCCGGTTTCTACAGTCGATGTTGCATTCAGTTTTGTAATACATTCATCCGGACAGACAGTGATCTGAAAAAATCAATTTGTTTTTAGCATGATTTAGTGATTTATGCATTGTTGTTTCGTGATGAACCAAGAGTGCTCAAAATGCAAAAAATGAATTTCAAACGCAATGACTCAACTAGATGGTAATAACTTTGATATGCTGTCGTTTTACCGACTGGGGAAATCTCCCTTCATTGGTACGAATACTACTTTTTCGTACCCTAGTGTGGAACGAAACTAATGAATTTATTATAACAAGCACGCACAATTTATTAATCTTGGATTAGGCGAGAGGCAACGCCAGCCACATTAATGAGAATAAAATATCTCACAAAGGTTACAAGTGATGGTTGAAATTTCACTAATTTCAAAAAACGAAATGTTTTAATCGGTATTCGTACTTATTTTAAATATCACAATTAATAAGACTAACTGAGCTAATGAAAAAATACGATGATATTTTGTAAAACGTCTATTATCTATCTAACAAAAAGTAACATATTTATTACGTCATACATTGCAACACTGCAAGAAGAAGAAAGTTCTTGTTCTGTGCCAAAATGTGATAAAAATTAGTACGAAAATGTAAATGATTAAGGAAGCTAGAAATTCGCTCCTTGCGAGTCTTTAAAGACTTGTTAACATTCGCTTTCAGCTCATTCTATTTTAAAGCTTCATAAAATGGAATTCAGACTATACGACTATATGTCTCTGTTCTGGTTACCTTACACGGATTAGTTTGATATTCCGAGTCATGAACACACATGAGAGATGAAACATCTGGCGAGTGATATTAAAAATAAGTGGGTTCCTTTAGTATACATTAATTCTGAGTACCATTTCAATCAGTGTAAACAAGGCAATCGATTCAGAATACCTGAATGGTATAGTTAGTGTAAGGCGTAAGTCCTGTTATTGTCGTGACTTCCTGTGCTTTAGCCTCGGTAATCTGTGAATGATTGCGGGATATGTTATTGTGACTGACGGCTTCGATTCTGCAAAAAATCGAAAAAATGATTTTAAATAAAATATCATAGCTTTGAATTGAATAGTGCGTTTTTATATTAAGTTATTAGAAATTGTTATACTTTAGTACGTAAAGTACGTACGTTTTACATATTCGGTATTTTCATTCCACATATTTATGGTTTCAAATTAGGCTCTGAAAAAACAGCCACTGCTTTTGATATATTATGTCTATTTGATATATTAGGTCGGAAATAAGTCCTGAATCGGGGTTTTGCAACTGAATTGAGATAGAATTTAATAGCAAGTAATAAAATTCTGCACACAATATTTATTATCAGGTTGTCCGGGTTAAAATATTCTAAAATTGTGAAATTGTTGGCACGATAATTCAGTAGGTAGAACAATAGAAATGTTGGCCAAGCAGGTTAAACAACATGCCATCGTCTATCAACCCACGTGCTAATAATTTCTTGACGATGACGTACCGGACACATTAAGGCTCTTCCAAGATATCTATTAGCTCTATAAATATCAGTGCCTGTCTTACAGAGCCCTTTTTAGAGAAAAATTTGTTTAATATTTCGTTTGAAAAGAAACTCTAGACATTTTTTAGTCACCTGTACATTATACCGACAGTCTGGTTGTTAGGTTTCCAATCAATTGTTATTTGCCCATCAATACTGCATTCTTGTACTTTGTTCTCTGTAATTTTTGGTGATCCATAGACTGAAAATTTAAATAAAAAAATTGTGCAAATATTATTAGCAATACAAAGGAAGTTCATAAAGTCTTAAAGTTGTAACAAAATTGCAAATGAAATTTATCGATAACATATAATGTTTTGACCCTCACAGATGTATTGAATGAAGTAGAAATACTTACCAATTATTGATTAAAAATCCACAAACCTGGTTAGGATATATTGAAATTGTAAATTGTGTTTATGGACATCCTGAATGTGCTACACGCACCATCATCATTCTTTTGTTTCATATTTCAATATATTAAGTTTTTCTATTTGTGCTTATCGATCGGAACATTATTTGTTTACTGTTTATATTGGTTCGTATTTATGGATTAAAATTTGGTACTCCCGAAGTATGTAAACAAAGATGGCGGACACCGGAACGTAGTATGTATGTATGTATGTGTACCAGGTGAGGGCTATAATTTCACATACAAATATTACGGGAGTCACTTGGCTATTCCCCGAACTGGTAATAGAACTGAAAAAAGGTAAATTGGAATAAAATTATGACCTAATCCTAACCTGGTACACATACTACGTTCCGATGTCCGCCATCTTGGTTCACATACTTCGGGAGTACCGTTTGCTTACTGGTTTACCTGATAACGTGATACTTTCTTCCATTTCACTTTTCTGCGCTGCATCACCGATAAAATTAACCCCGCGGCACGTATAGGATCCGTCTTCCGATTGAAAGGCGCTTTTAATGCAAAGTAACGATTTCCCAACGCTCTTCATCTGATATATTGTATTATCTGTGTTTATTGAAACTTCCATTTCATCTCTGAACCATTTCACTTCAGCAGTGGGCACACCTGTTGCCTCACAAGTCACGTAACTTGGGCCAGTAGTGACGGGAGATGAAATTTCGACCGGATACAAGTTTGTTATGTTTACCGGATCTAAAAATAAAAAAGTAGTAAAGATATAATTTATAATACAATGTCAAGGCACAATTAATAGTTTTACAGTAGACAAGAGATGCATACCAGACTGCGCTTTTCGCTGAAAGCTCGCACTTGCACATCCGCACGGCGTAGAGTGGGCACATCACCGAGATACAATTTGGGCATTAGATTGACAAGATTCATATTTAAGATTGGATGAGCAAATAAAGCATTCATTTGAATACTTTAATCATAATTTTCTTGATCAAACACTCTGCTAAAGATAATTTTCAAATGATCGTAATTCTAGGTTATGAGCTCATGCAATGACTTCCGATAAAGAAGCATGATTCGAGTCCGTTTCGGCGTTGTCTGAAACGATTATTTCCGGTATTGTTTGCTGTACTATTACATATATTTCATTTTGATTAATTCAATTGTGAATGGACTTATGACTGTAACAAAGTATATTTCGTATATTGTAATAAGATATTGAAGTTTAAATACTGATTTTGGTTGAATTAACTGTTTTGGCATCAAAGATTACATATCTCGGATTTTAATTTCATGTCTCCCAACTCACCCTGTGTTTAAAAATGGGGAAATATGCCAAACCCGAAATACCGTTGCTGTTCGCATAGATAACAGTGGCTTTACTTCGAGCTGAAGATGTGAATAACGTCATATCAAAACAATTTTCGGCATAGAAATTCCATAAAAGAATAGTCAACTTACAATGTACATAAATATCCACTGTTGCTGCTCTACTGTATGTCTCAGTTGTTGGAGTCGCGACAAACTTATAAGTAACGTTTTGAGAATCATTGATTGGATCTGTTGTGTAAGTATAAGTGGATTCAACATCTGGTTTAGAGTGAACAACAGATGTTTCGTCTGGAAGTTTGTAAACATTTATGTTCACTGGCCCATCTTGATTGTTTATTTCCAACGTAATAGATGTTGAATTTCCTCGTATAACGACTGCTTCTGCCTTAGTAGCCTTGATGGTCAAAAGTTCTGTAAAATTAAATTTAAAAAAATGTAATGTAACTAATTGATGTAATGGATTTTTTTTTATATAAATTCGTATATATTTTAACTCATTAGAATTATCTGCCACTCTACCATGTGAAATGTACATATATTCGTAGTTTAACCAGTATTCGTATGGTTCAAAATACTCATTACCGATTTACGAACGTGGAATGTCCTATTTCTTATTTTTTAGCGCTAGACCAGGATTACCCAAACTAGGGTCCGCGGACTCTTGGCGATCCGTGATGACTGCGCAGGGGGTTTGCAACGATATGAAAATAATTAAATATGAAATAAATCATAATCTTATCAACATGCCGTTGACCTGCCAGTATTCAACGTCAGTATGTATTGGTTCAAATTTACATGAGTTTTCATTTTGGCAATGAAAACATTATTCATCCTCGTTGGTTAGGCAGAGAAATTGATACGACATAGAATGGGGGTCCGTCAAAAATTAAATTTACAAACAGGGGTACGCGGCTCAAAAAGTTTGGGAAACTTTGCACTAGAGTCTAGACCAGGGCTTCCCAAACTTTTGAGCTCGCGGCCCCTTTCAATATATTAAAAATTTTCGCGGCCCCTATTAATAATGCTTAACAGTTAGAAATATGCATTTTTGATATCTTATTGACACAGTTAACTCTCAACTATCAGTAGGCCTACCCAAAAACAAATTCACATTCACCCACAATAACGTTGCTCGACTATTCAGTGTAATGAGTGCGAATGTTTTATGCTGCATAGCAAGTCCAGCCATGGCTCAATGTTTGGTAATGCAGGTCTCAATGATAATGAATTACGAAGTCTGGCACCCGACGGCATGGTCCTTATCCGGCATTGTTACTCACTACACATTTGAAAAAATGCAGCAGTTCGGGCGCGCCAAATTATCAGGGAAAATTACGGCGACCCTACAAGTTTCGAGACGCATTAAGCAAATCGGCTTCGGGAACCGATGGCTTAACGATTGAAGCCGTGATTATTTGTTTTATGCAAGCGTGGGGATTCTACCATGTTTCCCCGAAAATAAGACCGAGCCTGAAAATGCGGCCTATAGCCTGAAGTTTAAAAATTATCCTAATATGAGCCCTTTTCTTTAAAATATATATGACTTATCTGCAAATTTTTTTTACCTAGT